GAATTTTTGTATTTTCCAACGTACTTGTAGACATTTGAGTCCGCCCAAGGCGTATTGTTCAGAGGCGCTCTCGCGAATAGCCCCCCCCCCTGCCTCGCCCCAGCCCCTCCCACCCGCTGTGATTGGGTGAGGAGAGGGAAAACGCGTGATGTAGAGAAACATCCTTCAAACGCCTTTGCGAGGCCTTCCCATCTCGCTTGCTCTCGAGCGTTGCCGTTGCGTCTGTTTCTCTCTCTCTCGCTCTCTTTCGCCTCTTTTCTCTTTTAACCCTTTGAAGGGACCTCTCTATGTACTTCATTTTTATCTTTATCTCTAGAGCAAAGCGTTGTGTTAATGAAAACGAGTAGGATTAGTTAGACGTCTGTCCGCGTGAAGAGAGCCAGCTAAGACGTTCATGAGTTCTCCGTAAGTTTTAAAAAGCACGAGACGGTGCTGTATTATATCCTCATGCATTGTTTTCATTCAAGACTTTCTTTAGATTTTGATATGGAAATCTACTTTAAGTCGTTTGCGTTGGAAATGTTACTCTTTCTTTCGATGAAGGAGCGTTGTCACAATATACCCTCCGTTCAAACTAGCCCTATTTTTGGGAAGGCGTTAATATACGTAATATATTTTTTAGCCGTTTCTTAAAGATTAGTGGCTTTTGGGGGCTTTGCTGGTGAACTCCGTTACCTTATGCTGCGCTCTAATATCATAGGATAAGGTCGTTCTAATGAAATTGTGTGTTTCCACTAACGGTACACAAAAGCATGAAGATAAATGTACTTCCCGTTAGGTAAGTACTTCTATTTCTTTAGTCTTAAAATTATAAGCCTAAGAGGCATTCTTTTTCATATAATCTTAATAAATAATATTAAACTAAGATGAGAATTAATAAATGTTAAATATATAGGGAGCTTTAATACCGATCAGTATTATACTGCCATATCTGAAGTACAAATGAGTATTTGAGATAATTTATACGCTAATAACAAAGTTTAATATTTATATGAATCGTTGTATTTAAATGACATTTCGAGTAAGGGGGTCAACGGACGGTGATATAGACTCTGTTGTCAAATATCAAAATTATTTTAGAGGAACTGTTAGACTTATTTACATAATGATTCACCGTCCTTCCCTCATGACATTTTTCTAAATGACAAAGGCATTGTAAGCTTACATGTTACCGCTGTGTTTATGCAGTGATAACCTCGCTCGCTAATTGATTTCTGGAAACAAGTTCGGAGGCTTATTGTATATGAGGTGAAGAAAGGGTAAAAGAAAGAAGTGGTTCACTTAGAAATGAGGAATCTGGCACGATGGGAAACAAGAAAATACTTAATTCAGAATAACAATATGAATTTTTCTATTTCATTATAGATAGCGTTTTTTAAGTTAAATTTCCTTTATTTCCGTTGAAAGTATTGTTATATTTGGGAAAAACATTTAACACGTGTACAAAAATGAGTGAAAATATCTATAATCAGAGATGGAGAAATAATTCGATTAAAATATGAGGAAATGAATCTATACTTTCTGTAAATCTGTGCCTCTTCGAAACATTAAATTTGGAAAAATCTTAATAAATAACGATTTTTTTAAAAATAATTTGCTTAATTTAATATAAAAACACGACCACTGCGAAATGAAAAACGCGACCACTGCGAAACATTTACACTTAATTTGCACTTTTCTCGAGAACGTAGGTTTTATTCTTCGTTGTCTTCGTAGCAAAATACTTAATAAAATATCTTAAAGAAGCGTAAAAAAGTTAATTTACGGTCGATGCTTTCGTGCGTTCATCGGAGAAACGTATAACGGAGTCTGACTGGAATCGTGTCTGCTGGGGGAGGGATAGAGTTGGAAGTGCTGTCAAACCCACCGCGCCAGGACCTAATGTGTTCGCGAGGAGGACCGCGAGCGAAAGAGAGCAAGGCAAAGCACGGCCGCCGTTCTAGAGAGCACCCCGCAAGGGACGCACGCGCCCACAGAGGGGACATGGGAAGGCGTCGCATCGCATCGCATCGCATCGCACGCGCGCGCGTGCGTGCGCGTGGGCGCTCATTTTAGCACGAGTCGCCTGATTGATTGGTTGATTGATTGTCTGCAGTCACTTTTGTTATGGAAACAGCGCACTGGTTTTCTTGCACGTCCCTCACTGACTGGCAGCTGTGTACAAGATTGAGAGCCCAATAAACTTAGTTAAACTGTTCTCTGCTGGTGTTGGTTCTTCCGGTGTCGCGCGTAAACCTTAACGCCGGCGCGCGTGCACGCACGTGAGCCTACGAGCCCGCGTGCGCGCACGCTCGCTCGCACGTCCGCCCGCCCGCCCGCTCGCACGGTTCGATTCCTCACGCATACGCACGCGCCGAGTTTAACTAAATTTATTGGGCGGACAGGGCACGCGACGAGGTGCCTGTGCATTGCCATTGCATGATGGCCGCTTGCTCTTCTGCTTGGAATGGCTGTGTGTGCGTTCGTTCGAACCCTGCTTGTGTGGCGTGACCCCGCTCTCTGTTTCTTTGTCTCTCTCTCTCCCCACGTCCCCACTTTACCCCTCTCCCCACTTGTTCTGTTGGTTCCATCGCGGCGACTCGTGGCCCCCGAGTTCGCTGCCAGGTGGCTGCCAGATGTCCCCGGACACTTGTCTATGTGCGATTCTCGTTGCTTGTGTTGTTCTCTATGAACAAACATAATCTGGTTTCCTGTTTATGGATATTTTTGTACAGAATGGTAGTATATTTTGTGCTCTTTCACTGTCGGTAATGTCATAATTTTCTTCGTTTAAATATTAACAACTATTTCGGCATAAGATAAAGCTTGAAAAGTACACAAAAAGCAAATATTTATATTCTCTTTATTGACAAAAATTCATTTCATCGTGAGTTCAAATATTATTTCACGTAATATAGTAAGTGGGTATAGTATTAGTTTTCAATATCCATAAACAATGATGTTGATTGTGATGGGATAACAAGCAATGGAACGTACAAACAAGTTCCAAGTTGGCAACTGGTAGAGCCTGCAGGTAAGTACTTACACAAATTATGACGAAGTCAACCTGAGAGTTTGAATAATCTTTCTGTCGATAAATTGTATCAGTTGAAAAATGTCACATGAATACTAAGCTCTTCGTTTCATTATTAAATTAACAATTTTTAAACATACTACACTGCAATTATTACAAATAAATTTTCAATTTTTGAATGCTGTAACAGTACATATTTGAAAAAAAGCAAGATATATAATAAGTTTACTTTTAAATTATGTAAACTGATCATCTCAAATGACTTCGTCAGGGATGTTTTCGTCATAACACATGCATCTGCTCGCAGCTATCAGCATCTCATGACTCTTAAATCGCACAAATAGAATGCAATAAAAAGGTATTCGGTTAACTCATTCTCAAAATAACACAATAACACTTAGTAGTTACCCATCAATCACATAGACATGCATGAAATTTTGGTAACTAGTCACTCCTGACGGTTTCTGGTTACAGTTTTCTTACTGCTTTTCATTAAGACATTACTAACATTAACAACTAACATTAGAAACAAATTCAATAGTTATTTATCTAAGCTTGATCGTTATGAGATCATCGTAATTGTTTGTAGCACTATGCCTTTTCACTTCCTTTGAACGTGTGTAGACAAATGCCACGTGCATGTGCATCTTTCTCTAAACAAGCACTTCTCAGCGATCTTATTGGTTAAAATTTGCCTTCATGGCAGAGCAAACAAAATCATTTGCAAGTATTTCGAATAGCAAATCATGACTACTATCGAAATGCGATCATTGGCACAAAGAATACAATAATGAGATTTACGAAATTGCTCTAACGGAAAAAAATAAGAAGTGCTGCTTCAGTGCTTACTTTCCCTCTGTTCTTAATTTTGTAACACGTAAGCAAAGCAATTAGCATAGAGATTAAGATGCATCTTTCATGCTTTCCTTTTGTAAAATAACACTTATTTGTAGTTCAATTAATTATATTGTATTATTGTGAATTTCAAAAGATACAGATTGCTATAATAATTCTAGCAAAAATTGAATCGAAAATATTTCCTATTAATGTTGATATTTCATAAATCATGACTGACAAAATATTTGCTTGCTTTCAATACTTAAATATAATGTTGGCAGAAACGGTACTCACCATTCCTTGAGAGAATATGAGGACCCAACTCACATAACAGTATGGTAGACGTTTTCGTTCTGAAGGCGTCAATATTTTAATATATAATAAAACAATGACACAGTAGTAACACATTTAAACTGCAAATTGACTTTTGGCATTCAACATTTGCCTGTCTTCGAGAGGAATGTTTATCGCAATCGATTTGAATCAAGAGTAAAATGTTTCATTGTTTTGATCTAAACTATGGGAAAAATGAGTGCCTCCAAAATATTTAATTGGAAACCTTATCATTTCAAAATCATATCTAAAACACGCATCTGAGATGTGAAAGCAAACACCATACAAATGTATTGCAACATTATTCATTACAATCGTTGATCCAAACTTGGCATTTATCGAGATCCATTTGAAACAGAATGTGAGAAACTGGACACTGCACATTTCTCGCAGGGTTGTAAGATTCCACTTCCCTGAAAGAACACATAAACGAACATTTAATGTAATATCTTTGAGGAGGAAATACCATCTAAACTTTACAACCATTAACATAGATCTGTGGACGTACTATTAAAAATTCACTACTTTGCAATTACAACATTTATTGATACTTCAAAATAAAAAAAAATTATATTACACAAGATGACATATGTAGTGGAATTACAGAATTGAGTAAAACATACTTATTTAAAGGAATGTACAGGATGCAGACAATAAAAAACACATGGTAGGGTATGATTTGTAGTAAAGCAGCGCACAGACTCGTTGGAGGCCCTCACGTGGTGGGGAGCCCGAGCCCCGAGGCCGGTTCAGGGGGTTGGGGCGGGGAGGCGGAGGCGGAGGCTGCAGCGGGTGGCGGCGCCGCCGCTGTGCGCAGGCGCAACCCATCCCGGCCGAGCTGACGGCGAAGCTGCTGGGCAACCGCGTGGCCGTGTCGCCCATCGTGACGGTGGAGCCGCGGCGCCGCAAGTTCCACAAGCCCATCACCTTGACCATCCCGGTGCCGCAAGCGGCCAACAAGGGCATGATCAACCAGTACTCGGGCGACGCGCCCACGCTGCGCCTGCTGTGCAGCATCACAGGTAAGCGCGGTCCCCGCCCTTCCGCCGCCGCCCGCTGCTAATGCCCAGCCCGCCGAGCCGACCCGCCGCGCGAGCGACGGCGGGCGTCCGCCGGCCTTCCGCGCTGTCTGTCTGTCTGTCTAACTCTCGTCTCTCTGTGTTCTTGTACATACATATGCTACTCCATGTTACAACTACTTACTACTGTACTACTGCTCTTCCACTTCATTAACCAACGCGCGCGCGCGCTGGCCTTGCGGTTTCGTTGCTGTCTGCCTGCCGCCGCGCCCCTCTGCGCCCGCGACCCGCCACGCGTGTGCGCCGCTTGCCGCGCGCGTGCGCGTGCGGGCGAGCGCACGCTCTCCCCCCCGGACGGACGGACGGACAGACGCGGCTCGCGGCGCCGGCGAGGCGCCCGCGCGGCAGTCGTAGAAGTCGGTTGCCTCTTCACCTAGAGACCGTAATGTCCCCCTTAGCTTGGGAGCATGTCTATGTTGAGACATATGTAAGGAATGACCGCATGTCCGGTACTGTTTGAGTTTGGTAACTCGTAATGGTTTACATGTTGAAGAAGTACTTTTGTATCCCTAGAGGAGTCGTTTCAGTAGAGTAGCTGGCTGCGCGGGAGGACCGGGCGGCACGGGCCGGCCTCGGTCGCGCTCGGCGCGCCCCGCCGCCCCGCCGCCCCGCGCCGCGCCCGCCCCGCCCTGCCCGCCCCGCCCGCGCCCGCCGCGGCTGTGGTGACTAATACTCGCTCCCTCACTCTGATGCATTGCTGCACGCTATGGCAAGGGGTGTTCGGAAAAGAATCGCTTAAAGGTAATGGGCAACATGCTGTCTTGTATCTCAATCATTTCTATATTTTTTTAAATTTTTTCTGTCTTGGTTTTTTCTTCTCAATTAAAAATCACCATCTTTTTAAAAACGCAAATCAACACCATCACTTGAGTCCGCGTTGTCGCGCGGCGTGTCGGCCGCCGCGCCGCACCGCCCGCCCCTCACACGCAGCCGCGCACGCCACGTTGCCGCGTTGCGCGCCGCGACATCGGCAACGTCGCACTGCAGCTGGCGCCGGCTGCTCCGATTGGAGCCGCTATCGCCCCGTGCTCGCCCATTGTGCGCACAGGGTTCGGCCGACAGGGCCAAGTTGCCGAGCGACGCGGTGGCGGCGAGAGCGGCGGCGGTGCGAATCTGCGCATCGATGCCGTCGAGGCGCGCGAGACACATGGCGCGTCGCGGGGCGGCACGGTGGGACGGCGGCGGCCCCCTCCGCGCCTGCTGTTGGCCACGCTTAGTGTCCGGCACAAAACTTCTGCACTGACTCACTTCTGTATGATTACGACAGAGAGTCTTCTGCTGCTGTGTTGTGTCCTTCCTAGGCTCGATTTCTGCATGCGACGCGGCCTCGCCGCGCCGGTTCGCGCCGCGAGCCGGCCGGCGCTGTACAATGAGCGCCGGCGGCTCCTGGAGGGCGGGCGGCCGGGGGCGCGGCGGGGGCGGGTCGCCGCGGGCGGCGACCGCGGGCGCGAGCCCTCGCCTCCACGGCGCCCGTCCGCCTGCCCGCTGCCGCCGCTCGCCGCCCGCCGCCCGCCCTCCGGCGCCGCCCGCCCCTGCCCGCCCGCCCGCGGCCCCGCTCCGCCGCGCCCCGCGCCCGCCCGCCGCCGCCTCGCACGCCCCCGCGAGGCCTGTTGCCGGGGGTCTTTTCTGAAACGGTCGCTGCCGCTCGCGCCTCCCGCCCACCGCCCGGGGCGCCCCCGCCCCGCCCGCTCCGCCCCGCCTCAAACCTGCGCTTCGCCGCCCGCCCGCGCGCAGCCCCGCCCGGTGCGCAGGAGCGAAGCCTCCGTCGCAGCCGAGCGTAGCTCAGAGCGTAGAGTAGCGAGCAGCCGCCCCGCACGGCCCCGCCCCCGCGTCCAGCATGCCCCAGGCCCTCGCGCCGCCCCCGCACAGCCCCTCCGTCTCCCCGTCCGCCCACGCATGCACAGGCGGTCGTTCGACTGGCACGCTTCCGCTTCCGCCCACCTCCGACGTCCGATCGGAGCTGCCGCGATGTCCTTGCAATGAGCGCTTCGAAGAGTCGTCCCGACAAGGCACAGTGGCAATTCCCCGAGAGCAGAATCACGTAGAGTAAAGAGCTGGCTCGACAGTGCCCAAGCATCCTGGTCGCTAATTCAAATGAGGACTTGCTGTAAATACGTTTCTATGCGGCTATTCAATGACTAGCGTCTGCACTCACTTAAAAAGTAACTGCGCTTTTTTTATGCTTCAAAAAGATTTGGCTACTTTCTACATAACTTATTGGACGTTATTCCATCCGCAGTATTGCAAGTTTTCACTCTCCCAATTTCTTCACACGTCCTCTTTTTTAATTTTTCACACATAAATATCATATAAATCAATTAGATATCAATGTCACCATGTACGTAAAATGCACCTATTGGAATGATCGGCCGCGACTGATTGGTGACAAAGGTAGTAGAGTAAAGGATGGCGTTAGCCACAGTGGTAGCCAGCACAACTGTTGTGCTGTTGTGCAAAGAACATATGTGCCGCTGATGCGTGCAGAAATGAACGACCGTGCATGATGGTCGCGCCCCGCTGCCGCCGCCGCCGCCTTTCGATTACTGGCATGCACAAACCCCGAGCAGTGCGTCCGAAATGCATACACGTGTAAGATCACGAGAGGGAACTTTCTCACTCTCAACACACCAACGTGAGTTTACTAATTATTAGGCTTGCCTTTGATTAATTTCACTTTTGAAATTAGTCTTGTAATACACTTGGACCGCATCTGCGACATAGTACGTGTGATGCACTTTTTTGTACACGTTGCATGCGTGAAATTCACAAGGTTGAAAAGATTCATTTGCAATGTGTTTGACGTGTGCATATATGCATGAGATACAGAAAATGCATGCAAATGAATCTAGTGCTAGCACTATGACACATTTTCTTAATCATCTAATAAGACTATTGAACATTCTGGACTTATTCACGAATGTACACGATAAAAAGTTTGCACGTAAAACGTTTGAAATGATACGAATATTGATTCACTCGTGTTTGAAAACAAAACTGCATTATGGTTAATAAATGCAAGAATAGCAACATAAGATTTTAATTTCGTTTTTCATTTCAAATAATTCATGAAAATATGCTCTCTTAATTGATTTTGAAATATCAATGCTTTTCTTTAAAACAAACATGTCGTTGCGACCCATCACAAAATTTTCTATGAGTTGAATGTTAATAAACCTCATTGATAAAGTGCATATTTCTTAGACTTCTCGCGGCTGATTTTTTTGAAAGTTAATTTTTATGATTAATTGGAGATCACTACCAATTTCTAGAAGAAAACAAAATACCGTGAGTAGTAAAAAATGATAACACCCTTGCCTAGACAAAGTTACAATCAATATCTAGCAAAACTGAAAGCCTGATCCAAATTAGTTAGAGATCAATTTTTTTTCTGCTCAATCACAAGAAAGCATGCCGTAGTGTTTCCAATACAGTACAATATTCTAGTGTTCGATGCTTGTTTACAACCGTATGCATTTTGGAGACGGCCTGCGTTAGTTGCCTAGTCCTAGTTGAGCGGTACCACTGGAGAAGTCTCCCTCTAGTTGTGGTCGTAGCGTTGGTCCACAGTACTAGCAGTAGCAGTAGGCACGGCAGCGGCGGCGCCCATGCCACCCCCCTCCCGCACCGCCCTCGGCCTCTTCGCCGCTCTCCGTCGGCCACGCTTCTCCCCACTACTACTACTTACTACTACCAACTACTTAACTACTTACTACTTACTGTAACTACTACTTCTTTACCGCTTTTTCTACTGGCCCTGCTCATGATTTCGTTTTACTCTGTTGTACTCTCCTGTTACTTCTCATTATTTCTTCTCTGTGTTGGTACTCTCTAGTGAGTTGAGTTCTCTAGTGAGTAGCGGTAGAAGGCGGGACGCGCGTCGGGTCGCGGCGGCGGAGGCTCGGCCTGAGCTGGACTCCGCGGCGCATGCGCGACCCGGCCGCGTCCGCCGCGCCCCCTCGCCCGCGCTCCGAGCGCTCTCGGCGCCGCCCGCCCCGCCCCGCCCACGCCCGCCCACGCCCCGCCCCGCCGCGCCCCGCCCGCGCCCCGCGCAAGGAGGAAGAACGGCGGTCTCTCGCAGCCGCGACGCACGACCGACCACGCACCGAGCGAGCGGGACTGTGGTTGCAGTAGAGGGCACTGGAATTGATTACCGGAACGTGCAGCTGCCTTTGCGACGTTACTCGGATTTGGGTTTGTCCATTGTAAAACGAACCATCACGATTTTTTTTTATTTCGTTGCAGCTGATGGACTGTTGTTTGCAAATGATAAGTTGATCATTAGACTGAAATTTTACTACCAATTTCCAAACACAGTCAGTTCCAAGTTGTAAATGCATTTATTTAAAAAACTCTTCAAGTATTATTATTCTGTTCAAATAAGTTGTAAATATTTTCAAAAATAAGTTTGAAATATTTTCATGAGCTGTATGAGGGGTGATTTTTCCAATGCAAAATGAGTGAATAGACAAAAAGAAGAAATATGTAATTAAAGACCAATGAAAAACGTTCGTAACATCGTAGTTATTGTTCTTTCTTTATTATAAATTTCTATTGGCTCTTTTCTGTCGCAAGGCATAATATGTCGCAAGCCCATACACGCATCCTATGCTGTTCTCTATACGAGTACACCAATGCAATGTAAGTTACGAATGAATTCAACTAAAATATTGGAGAGGATTAATTTACGAAATATTGCCATTACATCATGGCAGAGAGTCAACTCACGTTCGTGATAATATACATTAACTCTCCCTTCAAATATTGGCTTTTGAATATATAAATTAAAATGCGAAGTATATTTTCGAAAAAGTCCCTACGCTCGAAGTGACGTGGCGCTCGGTGTGTGCTCGGGTGTGGCTCGAGTGGGTGCTCGAGTGTGGCTCGAGTGTGTGCTCGAGTGTTGGTTGCGAGAAACTCAACGCCCCCGCTCGCGCGCTCGTCGCCGCCCCCTCCCCCCCCCACTCTCATCCGTTCACCTGTCGCATTTTCTGCTATAGTTGTGTGATCGCCATGGGCAGACATCGACGGAGTAGTATGATGGAGTCGATTTTAAACAAAATGAGCACTTTGAGAAACTAATTACCACATTTCTAAACTTTTGGTATTTTACGCATTATTCATTATTTGTTGTTTCTTGTAACGGCATTTGGAATATTTTGTTACTAGAACACTCGTATGAAGCTAGTCTGATTTGAAAACAAATCTGAAAAATTAATTCAACTCGAGGTTTGTAGAAGCGTAAATAGAAATAAGTTGCGTAAATCATAAGCTTTCTTGAAAGTAATCTATTACTTCTTATATATTACAATAATAAATTTTGTTACTTATGTTAGATGAAATGGATCACAACAAATTAAGTATTCAAAGTATAAAAATGCCGAAGTCGTATGCTTTAAATTCATTTACCAAGATTCGTGGATAGTATATTTATTACAATGCACTGGCGATATGAGCGCACACTCTTACACTCAATAAAAAATGCAGCAAAATGTGACAGACGTTCTGGATGAATACCACCATCTACGTTCATTTCATGAGACTTTTCACCGGAGGAAAAAGTCTGCCTAGGTTCGGTTTTTCGTGTTCGGTTCTGTAGCTCCACTGCGACCAAAACAATCAGCGCTGTACCTCCTCTCTCATTCTACACATCTTTTTCTCAATGCACGGTAATGTACACAAACACTGTGTTGCTTTTTTCCTAAAAGGACAGCGTCAATGGTTGTTTCGATCGCGACTGAGCTGTTTAATGAAACACCTAATCTGTGTTTCTCTTTAGATCTTGACAATTAGTGAACTGGGCTCAAGGTATCTCTAGGATTTCTTATTCAGCATACTCAAAGCAACGGACAGGACCCAGAAAGTGTGTTGAAAGGTTAGATGACAACACGTATCTCCATGATATACACGATTCCCAAAGTTAGATTATTTTGATATTGTAACAGACGTTTGTAAATTTGAGATACTTAAGTTAAATTAATACTTGCTTTAAGATCCTGAGAAAATTGGGAACTATGGTGTCATTTGGCTTGAAAGAATGTAAATTCGCTTCTTAACTATCCTAAAAAACACCAAATTTATATCATTAGCTTTTTTATTAGTAACCTTTCTTTTGAGTTCACCTCTAGGTATATAATGGAGGAACTATAGTTGTCATCTGTAAAAAAATGATTTGAGAGATGGTTTGAGTACAGCTCACTGATGACTCATCGATTTATACGAGAACCAGGCGTCGCGTTTTTCGCAAAGCTTTTTTCGGGCAATGAAATGCCCGAATTGCTAATCTGTTTTGCCACACTCAATTTCACTGATTCTAACGTAATTTGTAGAAAAAAATAGTGAATTTGCTGTTAAAAGAACACTAGATGGCGTATATTAAAAAAGTTATCTGGAGATAAAGTCTTTGTAATGCTCTTCTTGATGGAATCAATACAAGAAGCATACGAGAGCTTTCCTTATTTTTCTTGTATTGTTTATATATTAGTATTTCTTGTATATTTCTTGTGTTACGTTCTATTATAAGAAACGAAGTATGTAAAATTAGGAGTTGAAATTGGTCTTTGTACCAAAGCACGGGTCTCTGAATTGAGTTACAGTCAAAAGTTTTCAAATTGTATCTTTATTTCAAAATTATAAAATTACCTTACGGTTGCCTGATGTTAATGGACATATTCACTCTCATCCCTCTTAATACACGCCTACACAGCTTTTAAAAGCTACAGTGCTCTCGATACAGTGATGGAACAGAAAACATATAGTATTTTAAAGAAAATACAATTTTGTAATTTTTATCTGTAAGAGATCCTTGCGCCTTTTAACCATTATATTTACTAAAATTCTTATTTAACTCATTAAATAACAATTTGTTAAAATTGGTATAGATTCAGTGCCTCAATATTGCTCAAAATAAACCATAAAACCATGATTCTTATTTATTGTGTTCAGTAATTACTCTTGTTTGCACTGAAAACTATCTTCATAATATGATTTCATTGAAAAGAGTGGCAGAACAGATATCGATTCTACCTTAAAGTGATTAATGAAATTCTTTATGCGATGCGAAGTTACGGGTGAAAAAATGAAGGCGTAAATTGTGAGATATTTTATTTCAGTTCCTTTTATTGGTAAGTCGGAATAGTCAAAATGTTTTATAATATTTAATTTAATACATTCTGCAAGAACATATCTAAGGCAACTTTTCTTACATGTTTCTACAAGTACCATTCATAAGTTGTGTTTATGAAACACTAATTGATAAAAAAATACTAATATTCTACAACTAGACACTTTACATAAGTCATAAAATTAGTACTTAGTGCTATTTCGGTTAAAACAACAACAACATAATTTTCAATTACATATGTGAAGTATACTTCGTCAAAGGAGAAAAGAATTAGTTGAAACCATTTCTACTGCTCAATGCGAATGAAACGACTTATTTAAAGAGCCTTTTTCCTGACAGAGATTAAAACCTTTGCTTTAAATTATGTGAATGGTTTCTTGACGTATGAATTTATAATATTTGTTCGTAATAGCAATTAGTATCTCAGTTAAATCATCGCTTGTGTTACTGTAATTGTATGCAGTCAAATATTTTTTGAAAAAGATAAAAATTCATATGTTTTACGGATGAGAGCGGGATTACTTTACTGTTTCAAAATTTTTGTCTCATCCACTTTTATTTATATTATTCATTTACGAATTTCAATAATTTAATACTGAAATGAAAATAAGTCATTGTTAGATTATTTCAAAATGTTACAATTTGATCACATCATATTAAATTTTGAACCTGGAATATTTCACTTCTTCAGTTCAATTTACCCGTTGCTTCGCTTCGTTTTAATTTTTTGTTTCTGTTTTCGTCGACCCAACATTCCAAAGTCCTTGAAATTTCTCGTACTGTGCGTAAATATGTGCATGTGGGTTGCTGGTGCTGAGTAGAGATTTTCGCTTCAAATCTTAAGATTGTGATATTTTGTGCTACCACAGTCTGAGAGGTCGTCAAATCAATATCTCGATTGGAATATACACATTATAAGCGAAAACAATGATATTGAATTGTTGATATCGTAATGGAGTGTTATGTATAACGTTCAGTACGATTTTAAAAACCTTGTGATCAATATTTGTTGTTATGTGATGCTGCATTTATTTTTAAATATATTTGATTATACTTTTATATTTAAATGAAAAAAAAACTTAATGTATTAATGAGATAGCAAAAATATTAAATCACTGTTCCGTTAGATGGCTGATTTCCTCCAGTCATCATGATCAATTGTCGATATAACAAAGTTTAAAAATTTTAGAGAAATGCTAAATTCTATACAATATAATGTACTGGGTCTTTGATTCCGCATAATACATTAGGAGAAAATTACACGAACGCCACAATTTTTCTATAAACATAAAAAGCAAAAACATCAACTTGCTTGGATAATAATTTTACACAACTTTCTATGTTACTTAATTTTACACAACTTTCAATGTTTATGAAATCCAAGAAAGTTTTATTTTCGAAATGTATTTGGTTAATAAATACATATAGTTTTAATTTTTAATAAAAGCATTATTTTAAAAAGTTCCAGCATCATCTATTAGATATGATCAGAAATTTCACAGAAAGTGAATATAATATTATTTTAGGTATTGAAAAAAGTAATAATAATAATAATAATAATAATAATAATAATAATAATAATAATAAACGAAACTAAGTGGTTTAGTGCGTAGCGCGCTGACTTCCCAATCGGGAGGCACGGTTCGATCTCCGGGCCCTCCTGATCAGTTTCGTAGCCCCTCCGTCATATGGGCGAATGCTGAGATGGTTAATAAAGTCCACGATCACCTCTCAACATCATTTTATCACCTCATAATTCAAAATTCAAGACGTAACAACCTATTCTGACCAAGGGATACAGTCGAAAAAAGCTGATCCCCCATAACGGCACACGTTTATCTCTCTCCGGATAGAATATGATTGCACCTCGGAAGAGAAAGTGTAGTGTGGTCGTAAATGGCCGATAATAATAATAATAATAATAATAATAATGATAATATAAGATATAATAATGATATAATAATGTAATAATAATGATGATATAATGATAATAATGAATAAATATAATAATTAATAATAATAATAATAATAATAATAATAATAATAAATAATAATAATAATATTAATATAATAATAATAGCGTTGTGGACGAGGCGAATCTCGACGTCAGCACCAGCGTGGGCCAGCGTGCACCGGATCCCTGCCCGCGTGCGCGTGAGCCGAGCGGGGCAGCGGGGGCCGCGGGGGCAGGGCGTGGTGGTGCGTGGGCCCCGTGCCCCGCTTGGGGGGCGTCTGCAGCGCGCTGTGTCCAGGGCGCACGGACGCGCGCCAATGGGAGGACGTGACCGGCTCCACGCGCTCACCTTCGTCACGATGCGTGTCCTTCACGACGACGGTGTCGGCGCGCTTCTGGCTTCATGGATGCCGCAACATCGCCGAAGCCACCAAGATGGCCACCGAACTCTATAAGGAAGCGATTCATGTTCCCTCAGGCCAAGTAGGTACTCCGCGCCCGCCGCGCCCCACCCCCTCTTCCCACACCCTCCCCACACCCTCCTCCAGGAACGTACGCGTGCATTCAATCTAACATCATCTGTCGCCAGAAGGCAGAGGCTGGCATACCACAGGGATTTCACAAGTGGAAACAAATTTTGAGTTCGTCTCAAACTCACGAATACAATAATGTTTGTAAGATAAATCAATTTTGCTCAAATGCCTTAACATCAACTACTACTTCTGGGTACGTGCCTACACTTTCCGATCCTTTGTCCTCAAAAAACAACCCCCATCTCTGGTATTGTCACCCGTTCCCACCGATGGACACTGTCCACCACCGATATTTACAAGTTCGATTCATTCGTTCGAAAAAAAAAATGCAAATTTCTACCAACAATGAATAATGGTGCTCCGGAAAATTCTCACGGTTTTCGCGTATTTTTTGGAGAATTTAACATTTAATCATATTAATTCTATGTATACGATTCTAAATTATATATTTACCAGCAATAAAATTACAAACACTTGAAACACCAAATTTTGGAATTTTTAACTAATTCAAATACATTATTATTTGATCTTTTCTTCGCACACATTGCTGTTGAAATGTTTCACAAATTTTAAATGCCGATTCTGTCGGTTTTTTTAGAAAGTTATTATCGAAGTAGTTATATTAGATAAGAGTTGCATGACGGTTTTAGATATTAAATTTTTAAGATATATGCCTGTTATTTATTATTAAAGATTTTAGTAAGAATTTAAAAATTCTAGCTTTGAAATTGTATTACCAATAAGCTGAAGCAAATCTATTAGATATTTCAACGGTATCATTAGAAGCCATTCCATCATACATAGTTTTCAGCAATAATATTGTCTGTATTTTTGCTAGTATGCAGATGTTAGTGATTGCTACTGTTAGAAATGAAGACAAGTCATCATTGTATAGTATTTTGCCCTCATAGATTAATTATATACAATTTATAAACATTCGTATTAAGAGAGCCACGAGATATTTCTACGAAAGGTCTCGGTGTATTTCATAAGACCACTGTAGACAAATGAATCGCAGTTTAACGTGCAACCCATATTATTCGATTTAACGGATTATAACAACGAATTCTTTCTGAGAACGAGAAAATTATACTATATGTCAATTATAACAATATCAAATTGCATAATTTAAAACAATAAACGCTCGTATTTGCAACGCTTTTTTCAATTCGAAGAGAAAATTTAAACAAAAATACTGAAATATTTCCATTCCGTTTAGATCGTAATTTTCACTCAAAAATACTTTTCACGAACGCAGATAAATAGAAACATTTATGAAGTTTATTGACAAGCATATTTTAAATTGTATTTCGAAAATTTTCATACGCCAATGTAGAAATAATCTGCCACGTCTATTAAGACGAAATTGCGGCAGTTTCCACATTTTCATTGTAGCGAGCTAGGTAGTGTCTTCCTGTCGTGCCTTGCCCTCCCCGGCCTCTCCCGGTAGCGACTGGCGCCCCCGCGCCCTGCGCCCTGCGCCCGGCGGCGGCGGCGGATCGCAACGGCGCGATTTTTCAGAGAATCGATTCTTCTCAACGAGATCGATCTCTCGATTGGATCTCTCGATTTTGTAGAGACGTTCTTAACCACAGAGATCTTCTGGATTGTTCACACGGAGCGGTTATGAGACCGGCAACCCTCTTGTTACCCGTTTCCGTAACCGCTCTCGCCTTTGATGCCATGTTTCTGCAGACTCCCTTTGAATGCAGGGAGCGAATCACGGTTCCCCTCGTGCTAGGAGCTTAGTGCCTCGCTTTGCTACGGAAGCAGCTAGCACACGCTTCGCGCCGGCCGCCTCTTGCCCCTGCGCCGCGGAGGCCGAAAACGCAGAGCCCCGTCCGAGGACCCGGAACGAACGTACCGGTTCGTTCGGTCAGTCGATTTCAAGCGATTCATTCGCGGACAAATTGTTACGGCATGGTTTTCGATAGTACAAAATTCAATATCTTCTATGTCTATTCGGCTGATTGGAGAGATCGATCTTTAGTGATATACAAAACAAAAAAAAGAATCGAATTTCTAAAATAATCGCCCTGCGGATAATCGATTCGAAATCGAGACATGAGCTCGCCCGGGTGCGCGCCGCGGCGGAGCCGCCGGCAACGGTGGCCAGCGTGGCGGCGGCGGCGGTGCGGGGCACGCCCCCGCCCCCGGCGCCCGCCCAACCGCCCGCCCGCTCGCCGCCCGCCGCGGCCCGTCCCCGGCGCGGCCGCCCGGTCGCGGCCCTCTTCTTACCAGCCATCGGAGCGGGAGGCGGCCGGCCACTAAGCCCGAATCCGAAAGAACCGCTAGGTCGGTCGGTCCTCCTCCGGTCCGTCCGTGCGAGCGAGCGAGTAGGGCAGAGGACCGTAGCGGGTAGGAGGACGCGCCGCGCGCCGCGGTGCCGGAGGCGGCGGCGGCGGCGCCCCCGCCCCTCCGCTCGCACGCCCGGGTAAGTGCGGCCGCTTCCACGAGCCCAAGCCCAGCTCCGCCCAGTGGCGTAACACCGCGGTCCTCGCACGGCGGCCACGCCCACTCGCCATTCGCCCCAGTGGCCCGCGACAAGTGGCCGCCACTCATCGCATACCGAACACCACTAAGTGGCCTGAACGCCTTCATCCCACCGGAAGGAGTCGGATGAATCAGAGAAACCGGCTACTTGTCAAAAGAATTTCGATACTTTACTGAAAGTTCCCTTCCGGGATGGAAGATAAAGTCTATGCAAAAAACTATTCATGGAATTTTCAGTCCTAGAAAATTGAAATGCTTTCAATGAGATCGAATGAAACAGAGATCACTTGGCACTAGAAGATTTTTATCTCGTGTTTTCTTAGTTTGAATCTTCTTTTTTTTAATTCAATTTTCTTGGGAAATCTCAAAAATAATTTTAAACTATGAAAAAAATTCATTATAGGTATTTAAATTGCAAGTCAAGAAAAATAAACGAATTGCTTTTTTTAACAAAAAAGCTAATGCACCTAAATTTACACAAAGCATTCCAAATAAAATGAGTGGAAATTTAGTAATCCGTTAGAAAGCGTAAAAATCCTAAAATCACACTAAGAATGGCGAAATTTATAGTTAAAAGCTTGGCTAGCCGTTAACGTGCGAGGACCTTCTTATAGGGATGTAAATATCATCAGGGATCACGTACTTTTTACGAAGTTATCGGTTCATCTGCAAATTATGTATGGGCATCACTTTAAATTAACTTAAACATACGGCGTCCTCCTTTCAGGATGTGAGGTTCCCCTTAGAATCACTTCAGAGCGCACAATGTGTGAGCATCTCACAGCACGAGCACAGTAGGCCATTAATGTCATATTTCGAGTAGAATCACTAACTAGCGGCCTCAGTGGCGTACCTATTCCAGTTTTACAAGTAAATTCATTACTTTCTTCATAGGGATACGAATTATGAATATACTATAATTATAATTCAGTTAATTTAACTAAAATGTCGAACTTAAATTTTATGTTGATCTTGTTAAGAAAATGAATATTTTAATCATTCTTCAGCAATCACTTTTTCTAAAAGCAAATATTATTTTTCATTACACGGATGTAAGCAACTTGTTCAACCCTGATATTCCGAAACTACTATATTGATTTTCAGTAAAGGCGACACAGAAGTTTCTTTCTAACCCTTACGGTGGAACATCGCAAATACAAACATCGTAATGAATTTTTGTTCAATATATGCTTGATAATATTTTGCAATAAATTCCAACTGTTTAAACGAATTTATTTATGAGAATATTTCAGGTAGCTTCGGAATCTTGACAGGGTGGGCACCCAATATATTTCCCTTGGAATTGAAAGCCCTCATTCCCGCAAACGAGCAACGCTGGATGTCCACAGATTGGTCCTTCCGATCCGGATACGCCACTGCAGTGCCACGTGTCCCCAGGCTGCATGAGCACTTCCCCGGGGAAGCCCCGGCGCCGCCCACCCGCGCGTTCGCTCTGCGTTACGCCACTGGCTCATCCCCCCCCCCGCATGGGCCCGTAGTGCCTCATGGCGTAGTGCGCTTCCCTGCCCCGCTCGTAGCCCCGCCCGCCGCCATGAGGCTCGCTACTGCATCGGGGACGTTCGATCTCGCACCGGAGGGCCACCTGCGACGGGTCGCGTGCGGGAGGGGGCGTCGGCGGGAACCAGAGCAGTTTCAGAGCCACCGCCCCGCCATCGCCATGGTGCTGGGAATACGGAAGATGAAGCATTCCTCAGGGCGCACATTTCAACAGCTAAACCGCTACATGGAAGTTCAGAAAAAAAATTACTAACTTCTAGGGATATAAGGAGTCAAAGTGATCCTTTTTGCACTACAGGATAGTTCGAAATAAATGTTATAAACTTCTAGAACATGTAAGGGTAAAAAATGATTACTTTTTGCACCATACGATAGCTCACATTAAATGTTACAAACTTCGGAGGTAAATGGTATCATTAGCTTTTTAAACTCAAGATTTCAGACGCGGTTCTTCATCTTCTGTATCGTCTTAGGACCCAAGCGCAAATACACTTGGGTGATAAGGGAAGCAGAGGGCTAGCATTTGGGTCCAATGAGTAACTGTGAGATCACACGACTTGCCGTTCCGTATCGGTGTTCGCGGAGACGCGTTTGAGGCGGCAACTCTGAATGGCTCTGTTGCTGGGGACCGATGCGAATCGAAAAGTACGGACTAGACGCGTTAATTGCATATCGACCGTAGCCTTAGAATGTTTGCAGAATTTATTTCGTACGCAATAGCATTTTCATTTCTTGATTTTCTCTGTAAACTTAGTGCCAATCATAGCTTTCTGTCTCCCATTTTCGTAATAATTACTCACCTAGCACATATTTTACCAAAGTATTCTTAATTTCACATCCCTCCGTAGAATATAAATGTTTCATTAATCTTTACAGATTAGTTATTAGTCATGTACCAGCATCGTAATTAGAATTAGAAAGGCAAGTAGCGCCCAAAAGTAGATTCTCTTAGGTGGAATTTTCTTTCAGAGGTAGAGGACCAAATCAGAGGAAGCGTCCTCGACGAAACTGTTGGTTACAATTCACCAAATCGAGAGATCTATCGACGGAATCGATTCTCCCGGGAAAAGTGACTACGAGAATCGATTCGTTATCTCGATCCAGATCGAACATCCCTTGCGTGCATGCGCATTTTCTTTTTAACGACTCTTTTTTTTCTTGCACTCTTCTCGCGCGGTCGTCGGTGGCTGGACTGCCTCAACGCCCCCGTCCTCGCCCTCAACGGCCCTACCGTCCCCACTGTTGTGTTCTTGCCGCCCTCAGATTTGAGGCGAATCGGCTACAGGACAGAAATGAGAGTGGGTGCTCTTCACAATTCGCGAATCTTTCAAGCTCGCTGACATGTCTTTTGCTTAAACCAATTCGCTTTTTTTAATCAAGTTTATTCAAGGTAAATAAATATAATTGTCTCTTAGTCATTTAGCATCATCAGCATATTTAATCAATCCTCGAAACTGTCATTAAAAATGGCAGTGATATTTGTATCTAGAAAAAATGTATTAGGTTAAAAATTTAGAAATGTTCAGATATAAAATAAGTTCATAAAAAATAGTAAGCGTGTTACATGTTGTTATTGAAGTAAATGTAATGTATTTCAAAGAAAGTTTAAACTAACCGTACGTGTACTAATTGTTCTCATACAAATACTGAAATGTAATCATAAATATTATTACAAAAAGGCTTTCAAAATTTTAGAAACAAAAATGTTCAATGATCTACATGGATACACCAGCAATGTAATATCACCAAAATATCTGAACTAAAGGGAAGTAATTGAAGCCCTGACACATCCATTTTACACCGAGGTAGTTTGAAAGAAGCAAAGAGTTCAAATACAAATAATATTTTTTTCACACTTCATTAGAAAGTGTTAATACATGTATTTCAAAGAGTGCAATATTCTCAATAACGTGCACGTAATATATCTCTTGACTGAAATCTACTAACGTGTGAAGTCTTGCGGGAGGCATGACTTCCGCACAGCGTAGCCCAAAGTAAAGCGGCGCAGGGGCCATGTAGAATGGAAGATTTGTTCACTCCAGGTCAGACCGGGGGGACGGGGGGAGGGGCCGCGGGAGACGCGGGGGATAGGACCGGGCGCGCCCGACTTCCGCCGCCGACATCCGCCCGCCCGCGGCGCGCGCTGACCGCCGGCCGCCGCCGCCGCTGCCCCGCAGGTTCGTGGTGTTTGCGAAACGCGTGGACGCCCTCGAGGCGCGCCTGCGCGTCTTCTGCATGACGGACGACAAGGAGGACAAGACCCTGGAGCAGCAGGAGCACTTCACGGAAGTGGCCAAGAGCCGCGACGTCGAGGTAACGCAGCGCTTTCCCTTCGCTGGTCATTCGCTTCATTCAGATTTCTTTATATTCCAGCATTATAAAGGACCAATTTCGTTACAAGAAATCGTTCATAAAGTGACATATTATGGCACGGATGAAGGCGTTTTGCCGTTTATGGCACAGATAATTGCGTCATCACGCATTCACCCAATCACAGCGTGAGAACCGCTCGCACGTAGCCGCGATAAACGGAACAGCCGACCACCTTTCTTTTGGCGCAGTTATCAAATACCCATGACACAAAAAACCCGTCTCAATAAATTTGTTTCTCAAAATTAATTTTAATTATCTTATAAATTTATAATGCTGTTATATAAAAAATATTGTATAAGAACCGTTTATAATGTTGCTTTATTCATTCGTACAAACATGAAAACTCACTCCCATCGTCGCTCGTTTCAAATCCTGTACCCATGCAGTAAAGCTTAACATTATAAACTAATTGCATAAACTACTTCTAATTACTAGTTAATTTTTGTATTATTTTTACTTTGTACGGGTTTAACTGAGTGTAATATTTTCAGTTTAATTTATTATGCCATGGTAAGTGAATTTAAGTATAACAGATTACATTTTTTGGGTGATGAACATTTTACAGATGTTGGTAATATCTCAAGTAGGTGAATCAAGAGTGACTGTAATAGTAAACATTCCTAATACAGTTTGTTTATATATATATATATATATATATATATATATATATATATATATATATATATGTGTGTGTTAGCTTTGGCAGTTAGATTATTGGTAGTTGAATAAGTTTTAAATTGTCAATAGTAAACTATAATACTTCAATCTATATTGACGAATTTAAAGATATTTCTAAGAATCTATTTTGCCGTTTGCGATACGCGTACGAGAAAATATATTCGTTGAAGATAGTAAGAGGCCATGCCCACATAGAACAACTGATAGTGGAAAGTAAACAAAAACACTGGGGTGACTTGAACAACATGGCTGCCTCCTCACTTAATGAGAATGATCCTATCAGATAATTTGTGTAAGTTTCCCCGAATTTGTACTACAAAATTATATTTGCAAACTGTACTGAAAATGTCTTTGTGAAATCTTTCAATGTGTTTGGTACTTGCTGATAGGAAATGTCCTAGCAGAGGTATGGGTAATAATTTGGTGAAATATCTCAAAACATGGAGTTTTGGACTAATTTGGGTCTTGTAAGAAAGCCTTCAATTATTTATTTAAAGCACTTTAGGGTGTGTAACATCACTCAACTAGGCAAAATACGAGGGCTGTCGTCTGTCTTGGTGACGCTGCGACGCGAGCGTGGCCTTCTTCAGGGCCGGAGTGGCGTTAGTTGAGCGCTGGGCGTGCGGTTGCAGGTGCTCGAAGGCAAGCCCCAGTACATCGAATTCGCGGGCAACCTGGTGCCCGTCACCAAATCAGGGGACCAGCTGCAGCTGGGCTTCCGCGCCTTCCGGGAGAACCGGCTGCCCTTCACCGTGCGCGTCAAGGACCCGCACGCCGACACCGTGGGCCGCGTGCTCTTCATGCGCGAACCCAAGGTACGCACGTGCACGCACACGCGCACGCACACGCGCACGCGCATCGACGCTCGAAATTAAAACATCGATATCAGAAATTAAAACATCCATGTTAAAAATTGCATCGTCTAAAAACCATGGATGTCTTTCGACGTTAGTAACCTCTAACATTAAATTCGTGTGCGTTAAAATTTGATTTGACAGTGTTCGTATGTATCAATGAAGGGTACGAAAAGAGATGGATCCTACGTGCCCAGCTTATTTGTTGGCCATATCTCAATGTGCGAAATGAACATGAAGAAAGAGGAAATGCAAGGGCATTGAGGTCATTTCAGGCGAGAGTTTGGCCGATGAAGGCAGTGCAAACAGCGTGCCTTTGGTTCTAAAACGTGAATAACAGTGTTACTATCAGTTACTATGAAAGCCATGATATGTACTGTTGTAACTGTACATAATACAGTTTCATATCTTAACTTTTACAGTATTGTGGTCATAGAACTTTTCATTCAGAAACAAAACATCGGAAAAGAAAAAAACATTGATCACAAAACATAGATGTCAAAAAACTCGGTGTTAATACATCGATGTTTTCGAAACAACGACATCGATGCCGCATCCCTACTGCACAGCGATATCTCTTTCGACAACTCTATTGGAGTTGAATTAATTGAAGACCTCAACCACAATAATATAAGTTTATGATACCAGTGGAAAAAGACTTATTTTATTTTCCGGATGGGAAAGGTTGTGACACGATGCCAATGGTGCAAAATAAAATAACTTTTCACGTCTGTCATGCACTACTTTCAGACAGCTTTACTAACTCCTTTTATTTCAATTCGAGTATACAAATTTATTAATTCCGTATTGTTACGTTAAGGTCAGTAGTTGCTGATGCGGTCATACGAAAGTATTCTGTTACCTTTGTTTCAGACTCACTGTTTTCTTTGAACATTTGATCATCGACTCACTTTTAGCACGCCCTAAAAGTAACCTCTTTTTGTAGTGGCTGTCTAAAATAATATTTTATCTTATTCGATCACGTTTGTATCACATTTTATCTTATTTAATCGCGTTGCATCATACAGAAGAAGCCGGTTTTTTTACTTTCAACGAACTGTAGTTGTCCGTTATTTCAATTATAAAGTAGAATTTTCTAATTATTGTATATAATCAATATAAACTATGAAACTGTCAGATGGTTGAAAAGCTTTTCTTTATTAATGTACACAATGTTAGTTTTACTAATACATATGCTATGTTAAACTGAAGAGATATACACAGTAAGTTGTGGACATATCTGTCCATGAAACATGAAATTGTAATTCTTCCAGCAAATGTTGAAATATATATTTCATAATTTATAATGATTGTCCGAAATAATTGGAACTCCCAACTTATAACTGTTTACTTAAATGTTCGAAGTATATTAAACGGCTCATTCCTTTAGCCATCATAAAAAAGCTCTCTGAAGAAGAGAAAATGGCTTTGTTATATCCGAGCTAAAAATGGCTTCTGCCGATCTCAACCAATACCATTTAACCATTATAGACATTCAGATAGAAAAATTGTTAAAAAAAGATCGGATAAGATCAATCATAGTTTATTACCTGTTGCTAAAAGAATATTATATGCTCGTAAATAATCACCCAGTAAGTAAACGAAATGTGCTGTTAACCCCTTAATAATCACATTTCATACATCATTCTGTTTCATTCATCATTCATTATTCAGCAAATTATATTTCTAAATAATGTGACGGAAATGAACCCACCGAACGTATGAAGAAATAGAGGTAATCACAGGCAAAAAATATATGTTCTTGCAACTCCGTACCTGCGTAATTGGAGTACCAAGGAAAAAATGTATATTACTGATGATTGTCTATTCTGAATAAGTATTTTAAAAGGCTAATATCACAAAAATGCAAGTGACAATACACGCATTACATAATATTTAAATGGATACAAATAAATCCCATCCTGTAGCTCTTCCGTTTAATGCGTATCTATATACAAAATAATATAAATGTTTCATCAACACGATTATTTTTTTCTTAAAGGTGAATTCAGGATAAAATTCATTCTTTAATTTATTTGTTCTTCGTCTGAGATTCTTGAAATAAGTTGAGGAATCTGTCGCAGGTACCAAAAGGAGAACCACCCCAACAACCGGTATGCATCCTCAACATTGTCCTACCGGAGACCATTGTGCCAGAAGCCGGCGTTTCGGAACCCGACCTCCTGGCGTTACAAAGCAAATACAGATTCCTCAGGGATGGCGTCGGTAAGCACACCTCAATGTTTCATTTTTTGTTTAACTTCTTCACATTAAATCCCTTTCTATCTTCACACCCCCAGCGTCGCTCTAGCAAGCTCCCTTTCAATGTTCATGACCACAAAATCAGTTCATGGAATTTCATCAGACAAGATGGATTAAGAGAAGGTTTCGGATTTGACTAAGAAGAAACATTCTAGATAAATTCACAAGAAAATGAAATAAAATGAGGCACTTGTTTTGTTTATTTTGATTCTAGTGAGAGATTTATAATTTTAGCCAAGAATATTTGTCTCATATCATTAGCTATCCTATCACGAAAACAAGATGTATGTAATGTACATTACTAAAGTAGCGATGATAATTCTATTTCAAGTGCCAATAATAATGATAAAATTAAAACATTGTTTACGCAATGAAATAGATTTTTAGGTTGAAAGACTCGAGAAATTGTTTAATTAAGGAAAAAAGAAAATAATTAAGAAAAGGATTCGTGAGTATTGCTATATTATACACTTTCTTGCAATCATAATTTGAGCATTGAAAAAACAATTTTTGACGTTGGTTTTGTTAGTAAATGTTTGGATAACTAAGCAGTTCAAATAACAGGATTACAGAGCACAGGATAGCCAGTATTATCCTAGAAATATCACAGGATTAGAGAGCACATGTCAGAGCGATACTCTCTTCGCAATTAAAGGATTAGATAGCATAAACTTAGCTATCTTAACAAAAATACATTATAGAGAGTTTATCCCCAAACGATGTCAACCTAGCAAACAAAAATCATCCGCTCTGAGAGGAGAGATCCAGTTAATGCTCATAGTGTTTGAGAGCGTAGACCGATCCAAAGTTATTCTAATAAAAAACAACAACAGAGTTTGTGGTTGAACATTCAGCTGTCGTTATCCTAGCGATTCATATGATTAAAGTTGATGCAATCCTAATGAAAAACACGAGATTAAAGATGTTCGGACCGCCAATGTTATCCAAACAATAATTAAAATATTATACAATGTGAGCTCAGGCGATGCAATATTAGCAAAAAATACACGATTAGATGGCACAAAACAAAGAAACACACGATTAGAGAGCGTAGACAAGTCGATGCAATACTAACAAAAAACACAGGGATTAGAAAGCTTAGGCCAAGTTAAAGCTATCCGAATAAAAATGAAACAGAATTGGCAAGCGTTGGTCAATTTGTTACTGTGTTAACAAAAAAATAACAGGATTAGAGAGCACGGGCGAAGCTGGTGCTATCCTGACAAAAGACGACGACGCTCTCGCGCCAATTAGAGAGCGAGCGCCGAGCGGGCGGGACGGCGCGTGTTTGCGCGTGCGCAGGGCGGCCCGAGGCGTTCTCGCGCGCCAGCCTGCGCCTCGCCGACATCAGCAACCTGCTGGGCGACGACTGGGTGGCGCTGGCGCTGCAGCTGGGGCTCACCACGTCCGACGTGAACGTCATCAAGTCGCAGCAGCCCGGCGGCGGCGCGCACCAGGCCATGGCGATGCTGCGCCTGTGGCTGCGCACCGCCGGCAACAAGGCCACCAGTGAGTCCCAACAACACCGCCCCACCCCCCCCTCGCCCACTGTACAGCTTACGGGATCTAGTGTGTCGTATTGTGGGGATTCTAATGGGGAATTACGTTGACGGCGATGACTGCCGTTATTTCTTCATAATACATAAAAATCACACGGTTAAAGTAGTAGGCCAAGTTGATACCATCATAACAAAACTCACAGGAATAATAGAGCATATGACAAGTTGATACTATCCTAACAAAAAAAGGATTTGAGAGTTTGGGCCAAGTTGATGATATGATAAAAAAATATAGAATTGGAGAATTATGTCAAGTTGATGTTACCCTGACATAAGTCACAAAATTAGAGGGCGTGGGAAAATTTGGTGCAATTCTAACAAAAAATTCACAATTATTTCTTCGTGATATACAAAAATCAACTCTTTTTGGTTCTTCTTTAATGCGCTGCCGTACCGTTCGTGGGATTATGATGAAACTGTGGTGTTTCTGTGGTGGTTTGGGTAATTTTAAACAATTGCTGAACAAACAATAGTAGATTGAGATCTATTTTATTTCCATTAATTTAATATGAACTGTATTCTGAATTGTTTTATTTCTTCGTTCCAATCCGGCGAGAGTGTAGGCCCAAATGGAGATTGAGTAGATTCCAACAATGACCGAGCAAATTATAGATTATATTTTGCATTAACGAGTGATCTCATTTCCAATCACTTTCCTGATAATTCTTAGAGTTGAAGTTATTGTGTTTCCTACTATTATCTCAATTTGCATTAGTATTAGTATTATTATCCTTTCCATCTTTAGGCAAACTGCTCCCTGCACAGAAGAATGTTAATGAAATACTGATTTAACAGTACATAATGGAGTTTCCCGTAAATTTACTGATAATTCTAGTAGATATAATCTTGATTACTTGCTGTATTATGAAATTATAACTCGATCTGGCTATTCTATTCTTGCACTACCACTCAACAAGATGTTACTGTCCGATATTTACCATTGATTTCTCTGGTTCATAACCACATCGAAACGGGGTTACCATTGACACTTACAGTATATATTTCTACTGTAATAATCTTTTGGGGGTTCTGAATGTATCCTTAACTTTCTGGAAAACGAATGAAAATTTGATCAGAAATACCAGAAACGTCGGGTGCATTCAGTAGAAACAGAATATTTTGTGTAATACAATAAATAACTGAATTCGACAACTATCCTTTGCTGCAAAACAGAAAAGAAGCTGTGACTCCAACTTATTCAGTTCTCGATCTCATTCAATAGATGAACTAACAGTTATTTCATTTTATTTATCTTTGTATTTCCCACGGCTTTAAGTTAGATACCTTTTGAATTTGTAAGTAAAAAGTAAAAGTCTAATTGGCGAACGAAACAAATTTTTAAAAAAAATTTATTTACACATCTTAGGATTCATCGGTGCTATCTCTTTAAGTCTCTAGGTCAACAACTCCCGAAGTTGATTAAGGTATTAATGAACAGGGAGCTCGTGACAGTTCCCTTACGTTGGGGAGGCTGTTATATGGAGCGTGAAAGTAGCTGAAGCGTATCTCTATATTAACTCGAGTTCACACTTTCTCGCACTTGATAGTCGGAGTTGCGAGTGTACATAACTCACCTGTGAAACCCAGTTTACGATAGAAATAAAATTTTTAATTTCGTTATCAAAGAGTTTTCTAGAGGTCTAGATCTTTTAGTTACTGTTTTGTGAACCACCCACTTTAAGGCTGTGATCTACCATTTTCTCCCAGAACTTTTCTTTTCGGGAGCCACGTGGTGAAGCAGGCAGTGTGCTCCCCTTCTACCACAGGGAGTGTGGTTCAAACAACGGTCGATTCATGTGCAATTCGTGGCTATTCCCTAGTTTTCAATGCCTTTGTTTGATGTTTCCGGTCACGTTAGCTGCTAGTTCATTAGGCTCGTGGGTGTAGTGAATGTTTTATTCCGGGAAGTGATAGTGATTTCTTTCCCGACGGTTGCTGAGATTCGACGCCGACCTACCCTGAAGCCTTGCGAGGGTTGAGTTTCTGCCTCCAGGAATCTCCACCACCGGAGGCAGTTGGGACATGCTCTCAGCTTCCTATTGCTGTCCAGACATGTGTTTGAGCGTGTAAGGCGAAAGGCTAGAACAAGGAAGAGGGTAGGAAAGATTGCGTATGGTCTGTGGCATGTTTGTAAGAGTACGGGGCCGGCATTCGCCTTGTTCTGATACAAAAAACTACGGACGTGAAACTACGGAACAGAGCAGTCAGCCATTAAAATTTTCCTCCAGCAATTAAATTCTATGTTATTATGAGACAAGTGACGAAAATTCGGCAGCTTCGGGTCTCGAACTCTAGGGCTCTCCCAGTCGGATTCGCTGCAAACATAGCGGCAATGCTCTATCCATTCATGCCCAGCAGCTTCTGACAGAGAGTTCCTAGGTTCGAAACCTGACGGTGACAGCATTTTCGACACTAGCTAGACAGCCAGGTCGGATTCAGTCGCTGACTGGAGGAGAATTCTAGCTGTCGCCTGCTCTGATCAGTAGTTTCCCGTGGTTTCTCCGACCAACATCGAACGAATGCCGGAGCAGTACCTTTAAAAACGGGCCACAAACCGCATGCCATCTTTCCTTTCTCTTCCTTGACATATCCTCACTCCCTACATTAACATGCTCTTCACAAACACACATGCCGGGAGAGCGGTCAGGACGTTAGAGTTTGTCCCGGCTGAGACAATTCCCCGCTGGTGGAGATACCTGCTTGGCAAAACCGATTCACGACGGTAGCTCGGAGCCGGATCTCGCCATCCAGAAGGCGAAGACTACGCCACCTCCCAAGGAAAAACATACATTACACTTACGGGACTAATTACGTTAGCAGTTGACGCGCCCGTAATCACTAACAATCAATTAATCTGAGAAGAAACGCGTCCACTCGGGCGCGGCGCTGGTCCCGCCAGGGGCGAGGGCGTGACGTGTGTGTGTGCTGGTCGCGCAGGCAACACGCTGGAGGTGGCGCTGCGCAAGGTGGGGCGCGACGACATCGTGCAGCAGTGCATCTTCAACACGGAGGAGGTGGAGAGGGCGGTGGCGCGGGTGCGCGCCGACCAGGCCGGCTTCGACGCCCTCAAGGAGGAGATCGGGCCGTCGCGCGACGCCTCGCTGCGCCGCGACGCCGCACTCGACGCCGCCTTCGAGGAGCAGGACATCATGAAGGTTCGCGCGCGCCCGCCCAGGGCTGCCAACGCCCCACCGCAAATTCGTATCTAAACACACACACACACACACACACACACACACTCAACAACAATATTTTAGAACCAGACAATGATGCATGAGTAATGAATACATCATAACGCTGGGCCGCCAGTGATGCCAACACTTGAACGAAAATCGAACCAGATTCATAACAAAAAAATCTACAAAAACACCTAACAACAATATCTTAGCACCTGTCAAAGACGTATGATTATGAAGTCTGGCGTGTTGACAACTTATTTGAAATGGAACCAGACTTTCAAAAACACTATTGAAAATAACCGTATTTTATACTAAATATTTCACTACCTGGTCAGAGTTGAAAATATACGTTTTCTTTTTCACAATCGTAAATCACCATTGCGCCTTCACAGTAATTTAGCATGATGTAATGGTTATAAATATTTTGACTGTTCAGAAAATTGACTTTCCTAACCGGGAATCGATCCCAGATCTCCCGGTATACGCTTAGTTGCTCTGTCTACTTCATCTAACTCTTCGAGCTGCTTTTAAGGGATAAGAGTCTCATTGATGATTATTCAATTTACCACCTGGGCACAGTTTTGACTAGACTGTTCGAAGAGTTCGCTGTATGGGTAGCTCAAGAGTTTAGAGTAACTGTGCGAATACCAGGGGGTGCCGACTCGATTCCTGGATGGGTCACTCTATTCTTTGAAGAGTTAAAACAGTTATTTCAACGCCAGCCAATGCCTTATTATTACATTATCTTATCCTAAATATCATATTTTTCCTCCATGACTATATTTGTAGGCAATGTCAGAACGTATTTTAAGACTTACGTAGCACTACATTTACAGCACTAGCGATCATTTGAAGTTTGTGTAGATTTTATCATGAGCACTGGCCTGAATACTCATTACACTCCGGTGTTTCACATATAATCTTTAGATTTTCCCTTTTCTGAAAACATAGAAAGAAATTTTCAGAAAAAAGAAAAAATCTGTTTTAAATAGTATGTATTTAAGTAGTCTCGGAGTACTGGAAATGCGATCCCTCCCAGATGTTCCCTGAGATCCTTACGTGGTGCTCTGAATTCGTACTTTCCCCAGTGAAACACCGGAGTCTAATGAGAATATATATATATATATATATATA